CCAAAAGAACCACGTTATTTATCATAGTCAGTACACAACATAAAATATAAACACTAGGTCTGAATTTATTCTATTCACGCTAAAAGTGACTCCTAGCATCCTCCACTCATTCCAGTAAAGAAAAAGCTAGAAGGTTCTTACATTCTCTTCTTATAAATCAAAGGAATTATTTCCCCTGTCCTAGAGTGTGTGTGAACTAAAACCACAAGTAAGTTTAGAAGCACAACCAGTATCTGTGCAAAGGTTGATTTGCATAAATCTGTGAAGAAAAATGCTACCAATATGTCAATTAATTCAACCACTAATACACTTTGGAATTTATCCTCTAGGAGCTTACAATCTAGCAAGAAAAATACAAACATAGTCAATCAAATAATCAGAACATAAAAGAGGTTTTTTTAAAACTCATAACAATGATAAAGCCAAGTGCTATGGAATATAAGAAAGGAATTAACTTTTTCTAGACAATGAAAAAAGGTCACAAGATGGTGAAATTTGAGCTGGGTTTTGAATGCAAACCTGGAGGTAGAAAAGAGGAAAAAAAGGTGTTTAAACTAAAATAACAGCATAAATAAAAATGCACAGAAATAAAAGTGCCTCTAAAAATAGAATCTGACAGAATGGGATTTGATCATAGAAGATATTACCTGATAACACATTAAAAAGCTTGGACTTAATTCTATATACTGAAAGTGACACAATCTAACCAAGGTTTTAGGAAAACTCTATTAATAAAGAATGAATTAGGAAGAAAAGAATAGATGAATTGGGAAGAAAATAATAGTAAGAGGAAGTATGATAAAAAATTAGGGCCTGAACTAAGGTGCTAGGAATGAATAAGTACTAGTACTAGAACAAAAATGTGGTAAGGACTGAGTAGATGTAAACACTATAAGGTTTGGTCAGAGAAAACCCCAAGGTCTTCTTGAGAATGAAGAGTGATTAATGGTTTGGAGACTTCAGAGAGTTCATCTCAATTTTCCTCCCTTCTGAGTTTTTCTGCATTTATTCTAGTATCCTATATTTTGGACACTTTTAAAAAGCATTTTAAGAATTTCTTTCATCTAAAGATACTTTGACATTTCTATTAAGTACACATTAAATCAGTAGCATTTTATGAGTGTTAGGAGCTTCTTTTTTAAAATTCTGGAATGTCTTCATTTTACATATTTTACAACACTAGTTTTTAGGACAAAACACTAAATAATCCATGACAGAGGTACCCCATATCATATGCAAGTGAATACTAGTAAATTCACTTCTTTACATCTAGGGTCTACCCAGCATTAGATTTTTGGGGTCTTGAAATTATTCTATAATTGAGTCTCTGCTACTTCTTGGTGGAATAGAACTTCCACAGGTTCAAAGAGAGAACCAATTATGTGTAACAATTTACTGTACTAATTGTGCCTGATCTGACTTGAGTGACTTCAGATCAAGAAATCTCACTGGAAAACAACCATCAATAACTAAGTGTAAGTAATGTCTTTAATGTCTAAATGTTTTTAGCTTTGTATTCATAAAAGCTACAAATTAGTAAAGACAAAATGAGCTGAAATAAGTTTTAGAGGAATTGGGTTTTTTTTTAATCTTCAAAATGCTGCAATGATGTCCAGGAAAAGAGAAATTAATACATAAATATCAAAATAGAGGTTGAATTTTAGCAAAACAAATCATTATGTGAGGTAGTCAGCTCCTTGAATGCCAGGTGAGGTTCTCAACAGCATAATATCAAGAGCATGTACTTTAGAATCAGACCAATCCAAGTTGACCTTGGAACAAATCTCTAACTTTTTAGAGTTTTCATTTCCCAAATTATCAATAGAAATGTTTAACTACCATATGGGTTTTGGAGGTAAATGTACATTAAATATTTATTAATTAATACCTGGCACATAGTAAAACACAAGTGTTAGTACCACTCCCTCCCTAAACAGCCCCTTCTCTTTATATACACCCCCAAATTTATTATAGGGCCAATGAGCAAAATTATGTGACTTCCTATACTCCAACAATAAAGTAGTAAAGAAAGTATGGTAAATTGGTTATATAAGGGAAAAAGTAAAGCTAAGGGACTGATTAAAAGAAAAGCTTGAGCAAAAAACTGAAGTGAAGACTCAGATGAAGGCAAAGAGGATTTATTCTAGAAACTAACACCAAGAAAAATATCAATATCATGGTTTCAATACTAGTATTTTGAATGTGTATGCATTTCCTTAAAAATATCTACATTGACAACTTAGTAATACATAAGCTCCATGTGGGCTGGGAAAAAACCCAATGCTATTTCCTGCAGCATCACACATGACCCATAATATTTCATATGCTCAGTAAACTCCATCTTCCCTTCATTTACCCATTCAACAAGTATTAAGAGTCTACTTGTGCCAGACACTATGCTGAGCACTAGGATTTCAATGGTGGGCAAGAGGCTGATTGCCTTCATGGACCTCCCAATCCAACAGCCTATTCATTAAACAACACAGGCCACCTACCACATTTACTCAATTCTAAAAGTAAATAAAAGTTTTGTATTAAACTGGACAAGTGAGTTCAAGTAATTGTTCCTAAACAATAGTTAATACATTTGCTATATTTAAAAATCTTAAAATTTTCAATGAACTATTTTAGCTATAAATTCTGGGCCCCACATTTTATGCAGGACATTTGACAAACGACATATAATGTGGAAAATCTAAAAACTATACCTTATGAAAAATTAGTTTTTTGACCAAGAGAAGACTAAGACAACATAGCAACTGTCTTTACATTTTAAAGAGGTAGCATACATGTTTGCTCCCTATCATTCCAAATTGTTAAACTTGAAGCAATGAGAAGTGACAGAGGTGTACTTCTGTTTCAATATAAAGAATTCTAACAACTCAAGCTATTAATAATAGCTCAATCACATCAGACTTCTGTAAGTCTGACTCTACACATCACAAAATGCAAATTTTCATTTAATTCTTGAAATTAAAAAAAATAATGAAACCACAAGTATTTCCCTGCTATGATTTAGGGAACTGAGCCTCCAGGGTCTTTCTAAGACCCTGGGCAAACCAAAACTAGAACTTGATTCCCAAATCTAATGAAACAGGCTGTCTTCAAAGCAACGTCTTCCCACCTCTAGATGTATTCTGGTACACACCAAATGGTCTGCTGTCAAGAACGTTCACTAAGATATTCTAAAGCTTATTCCAAAGACAATTCTGTAGAAAATACTAGTGGTCAATATAAACACCATGAAAAGATTTCAGTAATGAACTGTCCTCTAGAACACAAGCTTCATGAGGGCAAGGACCTTGTCTTTCTTCACTGCTATATCGAAGTCCCTAAACAGTATCTAGCATGTAATATATGCTCAATAAATATTTGCTAAATATGAATAATCCTAATCACACATAACATAAAATACATAGCACTATTAGATAATAAAGGAACTGACTAAAGTATCCGGCAACTAAAAAGCCCAATAAACACAGAATCAATTCTCAAAATTACATCATACACTTAAAATTCCTATCTAACGTCCTGAAATTTAACCTAATCAGTTTTCAAAAACAAATTCTACTAAAAAAAAAAAAAAACCCAAAACAGCAAAACTTTTGGCAAACCTAAAATATCTTAATGAAAAGTAAAATATAAGGTCTTACAAGATGTAAAGGATAACTCTGGTGAAATAACTTTTCAATGTTGATAGTCTTTGCTTAAAGCATCAATCAACTAGCATTTTAAGTGTGCTTGAACATTTTGAGAATGAAGAGATTTATACAGCTGTTTTGGTTTAAAGACAAACTCACACCTTTACCTCTATACACATCACATCTTTACAAACATTTATTAGGTTGACACTTGATAAACATCTGCTAATCAGGTACATATTCTGTACTGAGAGGCAACATAACTCATACATTGAGGTACTCAGCATTCATTTGCTGATCTTAGTTTTCATTACTGAAAACTAAGATCAGTAAAAAAACAATCAATGCAAAGGTCATTTTGCAAAATTCTAAACTATAAGGCCTAGAATTTCCAGATATCTTAAGAAATACGAGAACATGCAAAATACTAAAAAGTTATTTTTAATTGACTTTGCTTAACAGATAAGTATATAGCAACGTTCATACATCTTTTAGAGAATATTATATAACCAGCAAGGTCTAATAACTATATGACAGATTTACTCCAATTTCATTCACTAGGTTAAATTATACCTTTTAAAAATTTCTGAACAAAGACTCTGATATTTAAAGGTTCATTTTACTTGAAAGAAAGTGTAAATAATGAGTCTACAATGTTCTAAACCATTCACTTGATTACACTGGACTACATCAACTAGATAGATTACATTCATGTTATTAGCAACAGGATGTCATCACAAATCAACACAGAAACCACAATCTATTTTTCTTTCTGAAATTCTGACCTTGAAAGACTGCAAAAGAAACTATTCCACACAAGAATATCACAAAGTGGATTATCTTCCTTATCTTCAGAATTTAAAACTATAAGCTTTATGCATATATTAAAAGAATGAACTTTACAGAAAGGCTGCTTTCCCATCGTTGACACATTTACAATCTGTATTTAATTCTGACATCAGCACGTGATTCAAATTATCCTTTATATTTAGCCTCTAAACTCCAGTTCATTCCTAAATCTCCAACAATGAAATGTCTTCGGGGTCTCCAAAATAATGACAAATTCCGCCGAAAAACCAAAAGCAGTCGAAAGAAACCTGTTCGTACATTAAAGCAACAAGTTTAAAACTTTCAACTCCTTACATATCTTCCTTACCAGCGAGAAGAAAAGCTCTGTTGAGCCTGTTGCTCTGTCCTTCCAACCTCCTAAAAGGTGTCAGGGGCGCCAAACGCCTATTAACACTTACTTGAAGCGTGTCCGAAGTTGGGTTTTCTAGTCTTGGGTAGTTTTAAAGAGCCCCTGCCTCTGGGGATCCGGCCAGCCCAGCCAAAGACAAACGCAAGAGACAGCCGACTCACCTGATCACAGGGCTGTAAGGGCTCCGGGAGCGACGCCAGCTGCTGCTGCTGTAGGGGCTGGGAGACACGTCGCCGCCCCGCTCGTAAGAGCTGTGGCGGCTGTAGCTGGGGGAGCGCCGGCGGCTGTAAGGGCTTGGGGAGCGCGGCATCCGCCGCGAATAAGGGCTGCTGCCACCTCCTGCCGGGCTGGGGGACTTGCGGCACCTCAGGCTCTGCGAGGCCCTGTGGGAAACTGGGCTGTCGTCCCGGCCTCCCAGGGGGCTCAGGGACCGCTGCCGCCGCCTGTAGGCTTTGGGCTCGGTCTTTTCCTCCCGGTAGGCCTTTGGCGGCTCTTTGTAGGCCGAAGGCGGCTCCTTGGACGACTTAGTCCGGCTCCGGTGAGCCTTCAGGTCTCGGTCCTTGCGGCTGCTACTACTGCTAGACGTGGCCGAGGCACTTTTCCGGCGGCCGCCGCTGCTGCTGCTACTGCCACCGCTCTTGGTTGCCTCGGCCCGCTCCTCGCCGCTGTGGCTGTGGCGGCTGCGGGACTTTGAAGCCTCACTGCTGCCACGCTGCCCGTCCCGCCGCCGGTGCTCGCGGTGGCGCTCCTTGCTGCGGCCACTACTGCGGCGACGGTCTCGGCGGGGCCTGCGCCCGGACCCCTCCCCGCGCCTCTGGGTGCCGGAGGAGGAGGCCGGACTCCCGCCGCTGCCCCCCGTTCCCCCGGCAGCCGTCGCCGCCGCTGCCGCGCTGGCTCCCCCCAGCAGCAGCCCCTGCTCGGACTGAGAGCTCACATCCTCGTATTCCACCAGTGGGGTCACACCCCCACCGCTACTAGCACCGCCACCGCCGTCCTGCTGCGGCTGGGGCAGCGAGAAGACCCGACGCTTCTCCGCCTCCTGCCCGGCGCGGGGCCCGCGGCGCCGCTTCTGCCGCCCTCCTGGGCGCCTCTTGCCTCTCGCCAGCCGCTTGACCTCCAGAGGGGGGCCCGGGCTAAAGCAAGAGGAGGAGGCCGCGGCGGCGGCGGCTGCGGCGGCGGCGGCCGTGCCGGGAGCAGCCAGGAAGAGCAGAGGCGGCGGGGGCGGCGGCGGTTGCAGGAGCTGCGGCTGCAGGAGCGGCAACAGCAGCGGCGGCTGCTGAGGGGACAGGAATCGCCTCCGCTTGCGGCGTTCCTCCAACTTCTTCTCCGCCCAGCTCAGGCCCCCGCCTCCCCCCAGCGCCGTGTCCGAGCTGCTCGGCATTGCCTAGAGCTCGCCGCAGAGCGCGGCGCGGGTGCGGCCTCCTCCCGGATCAGATCCTGGCCATCTCTCCCGCCGGAAACAACAGAGGAGACGGCGGAGGGACACTGAGCACCAGGGAGGCCTGTGAGACACGCCACGATAATCCGGGTCAGGACTCGGGTCCCTGGGTTCCAGATCACACTGAGGTACGCAGCGGCCTCCAGGCCTGAAGGCAGCAGGAATCCGGGCGGCAGAAGTCCTGATCGTGCTTGTCGCCCTATCCTCAGCAGCAAAAACACCAGATGCACAGCGCTGACTTGCGAGGGATTCCGGAGTCCTCCAAGTGCCCCCGAGGGTTGGGGAACGGCCTTGGCCGCCCTCAGCTTTAGCAGCGCAACACGGAAGTACCACCTTCGCCTTCGCTTCACTCCATCGCGCCCTGACGTTGGGTGCGAGTTCAGGGGAGGGGAGTGGGCGAGACAACAACACGCCTCCACCACCGCCTCCTCAGCGTCGACGTCGTCCTCCAGGGGTGGCGGCGACACACGGCTGACGCCTCGGCTGTAGCTGGGTCTTGACAACTCCCGGCCTAGGGCCTCGCGCACTCTGCGGCCCGGGCAGCGAGATGAAGCAGAGGCAACCGGGCTTCGACTCTCGGTTGGGGCTGCGAGTGTGCGGGTTTGAGCGAGAGGTTGTTTCCGGGGAGAGGGGGGTGGGGAAGGCTTTTCGGAGTCTGTGGCGGTGGGTTTGAGCCCTGACTTTCTTCTTCCGCCGGCGGGAGCAAAGGTGGCGGAGCTGCCCCTCTCCTCCGCTCCCTCCCCCTCCCACGAGGAGGTTTCTCGTTTACGCGGCCGGCCCCGGATTGCTCCTCCCCTTCCCTCTACGCTCCCGACTGCGGGAGCGAGGGCGACGGGACTGGCTGGTTGGGCCCCAACCTTTACAACCCCTCCTTTCCGCCTCACTCTTTCGGCCTTTCCTCCGGTCCCCGACGCAACACTGGGAGCGCGCACGCAAGTCACGCTCCGAGGAAGCCGAAGGTGAGTGGTGTGGGGGCAAAGGAGGCGGGAACAAAGTTGCCACACACCAGCGTGCTCGCTCCAGCCAGCTACGGGTCGTTCTGACCGGACGTGGTGTAACGTACAAACCTCTCCACTTCCGGTGAGGGTGGGACTATTTGTGAAGAAGGGCTGAAGAAAGAGAGGCATGTTTCACTGCTGGCTGCAGTCGTTTGAGACTCGTGGTGAAGACTGCTAGTGATTCCCGTTGCTTGCCGTCCTGCGCGCAGTGCTGGCTCCGATGGTCCGCGGGCGCCGCACTTCCTGCCTGTTGAAATTTCACGGCAAGAGACCAAACTCTGGAGACTTTGACAGGAATAATGCCATTGGTGGTCCTTCGGGCTAGGTAGTTAACCCACTATCTACCTTCAACCAAGCCCTGGGTTTGGAATAGTGGAGAGAACAGAAAGGCAGCACCCTGCAAAAGAGGGCGGAGATGGCGTTAACGTAAATTGATTCACGTATACCCAAGATCGAGGCCCCATCTTACCTAAAACCACACTTACAAATCACTGTGTCAAGTTTTGATAACACGGAAATTTAAGGCTTTAAAAAAAAAAAGGCCTTAAACTAATCGGGGGAATAAATGAAATGTCAAAAAAGACTACTGAAAAATCTCAGAATTATTAACAGAGGATTCGAAATCAAAACAACTTGCTCAAATGAGGGCTGCCCTCTTAGCACTTCACGCACTTTCTCCTTAATATCTAAATCTGTTATGCAGCCGAAAGTAAACATTTAGGGACCTCACATCTCTTTTCTTGTTTTACCAGGCTGTCCTTTCATTTACAGGTTGGACGCTTAGAATAACTGAGTTAAAATCTAAGTGGCTTATTGGTTTTTAATATGGCTCAGTTGAAAAGAAAAGCTAAGCAGTCCATCCAAATGGCTACATGTAATCACCCACTTACAGATTTATTCGTTCAGACCTTCAGTTGGTTTTCTGTTCTTAAACGTGGTTGTCTATCACTCATACCTTAGTGTAAGTAACTTTAATAGGCTTCGCATCTATTAACACTATCTCAAATTGGCCTGATCTAAACTAAGAACAACGTAAGTGAAAGAATGAATACAAAGGATGTTTGTCGCTGAAGGATAAAGGAGGAGGCAAAGGAATAGGTAGTCTAGACATCAGTCAGAGCATTTCTCAGGAGGGTAGGCCACAGGTGAGCCACCTGGTGGCACCTACTGTGTAGCGAAAGGAAGTGGCACTTGAAATTGAAAAGTTTGGAGCAGGATGCTTAAAACAAATTTCTCCATGGCTGACAAATGCTGAGTGGAGGGCCTATAGCCAGCCTTCTGCTAAAAACTAGTTAGCAAGGGATTTTTTTCCATGAAAGATCAACCTGCCCCACCATCCTACTTTGAAAAGCCTGGTGTAACAGAACAAAGGGAACAAAATACAAGGTCTACATAACACGTCTTCACATCGGTAACCAATTCCATCTAAGAACGTCATCTTCTATCTTATACTTGCAAAGAAAACTAGATCCATAGTAAAGGGATAGGACTTTGCAAACAAAATTGCAAGAAGGCTGCAAACAGGCAACATGTACTAAAATGTCTTTAAACAGGATTTGGCCATCTACAGATTTCCACAAAGATTCTATCTTGGGGGAGGTGGGGAGAAGAGGAAGGAGTGAAGCATTTTGAGCTCCCTAAAGATATTTGCCCACATGCTGTGAAATACTAGTAATTAATAGAATTCAAATTCCAAAAAATGAGACCTTTATATTAGAAGCCATCTTATAATAATCTTATAATACATTATAATAATGTCTACCTGCCTGCATATAAAGAGACTTGAAATTGCACTTGGGACGATATTTTAGTATTTTTCTGGTTGTATTATAATTAATTATTTTCTGGGGTTTTTTTTTACTTCAAATTGGTTTTTTTAAAAAAGAAAGGCGGTTTGTTTTTCTTTTATTTTATCCAACAGTTCATATCATACCATATCAGCTACTAAAATGTGCTCTGAGACTAAAACCTTTTCATTGGATCGCACAGTCAAGACTATTTTCATAATAATAATGACTTGTTATTATTTTCATAGTAATAATGCAAATAATTATTTGTATTTTCACTCTCATTCTTTCACAAATGTATAGTGGAGTTTTCCAGTGGCAATATGACATGATATGACGTCATTTTAATGGCTAATGGAATATGTGCTTGTGTATTCACATTGCTTTCTAGAATGTGTTAGGTATTAGGTTTCTGAAATGTGTGAATATTTTAAATATCTGCATAACTCAGTGAACTAGTATTTTCCAAATGACTAATGGATATTACAAAAGAATGAATAAAAGATTCATTCAAAGTACTAGATGTACTGATAGGTTCTAATGTAACAGCACAAAAAGTTCATTGATACAATTTTATATTCCACAGATGGGCTGGGATGGGAGTAAAAGACAGAAAACTGTACTTGAACAATAATTAAAATAAAATTTTAAAAAATAAATAAATAAATTTATATTCCACTTTACAACTAACCCTCAAGAATCTACAGTGGAGTTTTGGTGTAGTGTCAAAGAGTAAATATAATTATCTTAAAAGGTTATTGATATATCCCCCCTTTTCAAAAATATATAATATTCATGTATTTCTAGCAAAACAACATATTTCAACAAATTGCATAAAAGTCAGTCATGAGAATTAGTTTTAATTCTATTAAACCAGGTAATAACAAGATTTACAGAAAGGCAAAGCAATAATCCTGTGATTTTTTTTTGTTTTGTAAAGATAATTAACTTCATTTAAATGTGTCATGTGTGTTAATATATGGTGGGATTGTTGTTTTAAATGAATATTCTTAAATTTTCTCAGTTTTTATTTTTATAATCAATAAATATACCTCAGATAAAGAAAAGCTTCTTTGTGACCTCAAAAAGTTTTAAAAGTATAAAGAGATTCCCAGACCAAAACCTTTGAGAAATGCAAAATACGAAAATCATTAAAATTCTGATTCTCCCCTTCATGCTTCTAAGTGGTACAAAGAGTTCACAGATGGGTCATGCACTGTCATTCCAGAATCTTATAACTAGGAATTTCTGCAGTGTCTTTCAACATTTTTCCTCCTTTAGAGAGGCTGGTTATTCGATTTCAAATAGGGTTTTTCTTAGTCTTGCAAAAATTTAAGCTCTCATTTTTTTCAGCCCACTACTCTTCATCATAAGGAAGACTACCAAGCATATTTTATTACTGAAAGAGAGAAAAGCAAAGCTGAAATAATGGAACTTTTCAATTCATGATATACACAAGTTGTGGCTAGTATTTACTGAGTACCTACTGGTTGTCAGGCTCTGTGCTAGCTGTTTTATATCTATTTGCTCATTTAATCTTCTCAACAATGCCTACAAGTAGGGTGACCATAAGTCCTGAGTTTGCCTGGGTTGGCCCTGGTTTCTGCCTCTTGTTCAAGTACAATTATTAATAGTATCCCCTTTTCAGTACATAAGTTTCTAAGTTTGGATATAAATTATCAACCTATCTGTAAAAATTATTATCCCATTCACAAATGAGAAAACAAGCATAGATTGAGTGTCTTGCCCATAGTATACTGCTAGTAAACATAGATCTTGGATCCTGAAACAAGTCTGTCTGTCTAGCCTAGTAGTCCAGTCTTTTAAGAATTACAAGCTGTTTCACAGTGATAACAGTGCTCCTGAAATTTAAGTTGAACTCAACTACAGTAAATATTCCACAATCAAAGAAGTACAAAATTGAAGTAATAAATGTGCCTCTCCCATGCTCATCTTTGGCACAGTTCAGAGGCCCACATTTGCTCTCAACTCTTTGCAGAAGAGCAATGTGGGGAAGTTGGGGGAATTCTTATGGCCCAGTAAAGGTGAAGGATACCTATTTTTTTTATTTTATTTTTCAACTACAATTGACATTTAGTATTATTTTATATTAGTTTTAGGTATATAGCATAGTGGTTAGACAATTATAGAATTATCTCCCTGATAATTCTGGTACCCACCTAGCATCATACATAGTTATTAACAGTATTATTGACTATATATACCACAGGTGGCAAACTCAAGGCCCGTGGGTCAAATCTGACCCTCCACCTTGTTTATTCTGGCCCAGCATCTTG